GTCGAGCCGTGGCGGGCCCTTCTTCGCTCAGGTCGGGCATGCCCCCCAACAGTCGGCTTTTGGAGGAAAAACAAGACACATCAGAAACATAGCCCCGAACATACAAAGCATAATCCAACAATCGTCCCCAGCTCATTTCTTGACAAATTTTGAATATTCCTCCTGCGGAAGCACGGGCCGACTTAACCCTCATAGCGTTTCGCTGGAGGGTACGAAGAATCGTCAAGAAGAACCGCAGAAAGGGGGGCCCACAGGGGGGGCGGGGAGCCCGAGAAAGCCGGTAGGCCGTTTTGCCGTTTTGCCGTGGCGAGCCCTTCTTCGCTTAGGTCGGGCATGCCCCCCTACAGGCGGATTTTGGACGACAGAAAAAACATACCGGCGCAGGCCGAAAGATGTCTTCCTCTTGAGCCCCAAATGTCCGAAGCGACGCGCCGTTCACGTGAGCGGACACATGCAGCGCCTCCCTTCGGTTTCGTGTCTCCTCTCTCCTCCTTCCGCTCTCCGTCCTGGGAAGACCTCCCTTTCCCCCGTAGAATCATAGCTTTGGTCAGCAGGACCACATTTCCGTGGATAGCATGATGCTTCACGTGCCCCGCGGATCCCATTTCCCGCAGGCAGGGATGTTCATTCATATTCTTATTCTATACACATTCCCGGAAAATAAATGGATCCATTGTTTTTTCCAGACGGGACATTTGATCCGCGCAAGACAGAAATAGGATCCACGACAGTGTCGCACACCCGAGCAAAATCAAATTGGACCCTTCTCATATTTTTGAATCCAAGAGGGGGCGAAAACAAAACGGCCTGGGGATGTAATCAGAAAATGCACAATGTACACACCCGACTTAATTCTTCGCCCAATTCTGCTGGTTGGAACCACTGCTGGGCCACCGCAGGCCACCCAGCCGGTTCCAGGAAGGAACCTCGTCGGTCCTCGATGGGTGGACGATGCAGCGGAAGTCTTGCCCTGCGGAACCCTGCTTGGGGCCTCGGCCGCACCCAGGACGCGCAAGGAACGCCAGGGGGAACCCAATGGAAGGCCCTGCGTAAGGACAGTTCGATTAGCGTGTCGCGGCGGCGGCCTCAGCGCCACGCTACGCCCAGCGAGCGGATAGCGTGTCGCTCCGCTCGGCGGGGCGGGAGGCTGGGAACGGCCTCGGACGTCGACGCTAGGGACCGGGAAGTGGCTAGCGTGTGGCGCCGAAGCGTGGTGGGCCAGAACCTGCGGCGCGACACGCTAAGCCAAAGTTCCTGACCGCACGCGAGGAACACCATGCCCCTTTCGAAACCAAGGTGGTTCGATATCCCAAAGCTCTCGGACCGCGCCTGCTAGCGGATGCATCGCGACATGCGCGGCCTTGCGCTTGCGCGCCAGCGCGCCCACAGCTGCCATGCCCAGAGATGGATCCGACAGTGAACACAAAGAGTCCACGAGAATGTCGCGCGAGCGCGCGTGGCCGACTCCAGAAACCCTGAACTCCATTACCCTAGTAAAGCACCTGATAACAGCAACTGTGAAGAGGCGCGTCGAGGAGTGGGTCGGCAAGTGAAAACGACCACTCCTATGTATTCATATCGATTCCGTGGAAACGCACGAAATGTAGTATGGGACGCGCAAAGACATACTAGTACTATGTGTTCTCCTTGGAGGCACGCGTCCGACCCAAACATACAGTATACCCATATTGTAGTACATCGTTTCCCGAGCGGTGTGGCCAGAAAGCGCCCGCCACGACGCATATACTATAAGACTTCTCGGTGCGCACATCGCCCACGGGGGGGCGACGTACATATAGTAAAGTATGTTGGGGTGACGCCGACGGTAGGCTACTCGTGCGTCAGAGAAGCGTGCGCGGGATCGGAGTTCTGGCAGCACGCAGAGTCAGAAGTGCGGCAGGGTGTGTGCTCTTTTGTGCAAGCATCGTGCGCGGGAGTGGGGCTCCGGCAGCATAAAGAGCAGGCAACCAACCATGGAGAGTAGCCGTCTGGACCAAACATGTAGCCAACATTGAGGTGCGAGCACGACCCCTGAATACAACGTGGAGGCATCCCAAACGAAACCGCCAGACCGCACCGCCGCCAGACGGTCTGGCGGCGGTGCGGTCTGGCACCCACTTGTCGAAACAGCCCGAAGACTTGCCCCCTGGACGCAGGTGCGCACGATCACGAACAACGCCCCGGAAACTCTGCAACAAGCTCTTCCGGACCCCTCTCCCCTTTGTTTTCTCGACAGAACATAATGCCTCGTTTGAGATGACCCATGAGTGCACGGTTTCCCCCGGGGCCGTAGGCGACCCGAGGAGGAGGAGGAGGAGGAGGAGGTGGAGGAGGGGGAGGGGGAGGGGATGGGGGAGGAGAAGGAGGAGGAGGAGGAGAAAGGAGGAGGAGGAGAAAGGAGGAGGAGGAGGAGGAGGAGGAAGAGGTGGAGGAGGAGGAGGAAGAGCAGGAGCAGGAGGAGGAGGAGGAGGAGTAGGAGGACGAGCAGGAGGAGTCGCCGAACCCCTTCGGAGGAATCCTCCACCCATGACCGCGTCTGTGAAGACCGCTGCACGATCGAGCACTCTCGGGCTCCCCGTCCTCCCTGTGGGCCTCTGCCGTGGCCCTTCCTTGAAGGGGCCCTGGGACACACAAATAAACACACACACACACACAAATAACAGGATTCCCCACATTTCCCCATATTTTCTGGGTTTTTGTCTTCCCCCCCACTTCCCATATTTTCCAACACTTTCTGGGGAATCGACGATTCATTGTGTCTGTGTGTGTTTTTTCCCTCCTGATTCCTGACCGTTCCCGGAACCCTCCAGGACGAAACACCATTCGAGAAGCATGCAGCCGGGCGGGGGGTGAGAGCGCGGCCATGTGCACCCCGGTGTTTCTGCTGAAGGGGTCGCGGCCGTCCGAACCGGGCCTGCAGCCAGCGTCGTGGCGAGACCACGATGCCCGAGCAATTGCTGTGTGAGGCCGTGTGTATCGGAATCTGTCTGCTACAAGGGCTCGTGGCCGTCTGGACCCAGCATGCGGCCGGCATCGAGGCGCGAGTGTGCTTCTTGAAGAAGCTGTGAGGATGCCTCAGGCGAGACCGCCCCGTCCTCCCTGTGGGCCTCTTTTGTGGCAAATGTAGCCGGCATTGAGGCGAGACCGCGATTCGTGAACAAGCTGTAAGGAAACCAGCGCGTCGGGATCGTCGCCGTCGGGACTAAAAGGGTAGTCCGCACTGAAGCGAGAACGGGAGAGCGAACCGGCGCCAGGACAGGAGCGAGAGCACGGCCATGTGCACCTCGATGCTTTTTTGTTGGAACGGGTCGTGGCCAGCCAAAACAAAAATGCAGCCCGCGGGGAACCGAGAGCACGATTCGGGAATACATTGTGCGGGAGTCTCAGGCAGAACGGCTTACCGGCCTTCTCGGGCTGCCTTTCCCTCCCTGTGGCGCCCCCTCCTGCGGTGGCTCTCTTTTGACGACTACTAGAACCCCCTCGCGACACGCTATCAGGGTTAACTCGGGCCCGTCCCTCCAGGGGAGGAATATTCAAAGATAATCGCAAAAAGAGCGGGGGACGATTCCTGGACTATAAAAAACAATTATTTTGGGCTGGTTGTCTGATGTGTTTCATCTGTCTTCCGAAATCTGCCTGTGGGGGGGGCATGCTCGACCTGATGTCCGTGGCAATTGTTGGCTAGGGGAACAAACAATGACATAAACATAAAAACTCGGAGGTACACGCGGATTTCTCGGATCGGCGCTCGACCCCACCTCCCTGGCGCGCGGAGCGCGCCAGGGGCGGCGCCGGAAGCGCCGCCAGGGGGCCCCAGCGCCGATCCGAGGAATCCGCGCGGACCTCCGAATTTTTATGCTCATGTCACTGCTTGTTCCCCTGCTGACGCCCCACTCTCGCCATCGCTTGGGCGTCCATTCCCTGCGAATCTTTGTTCGGTTTCGTGTGCGGCTTTTGCGCCAAATGACCAGGGATGCTCCTCGATGGCCCTCGCCGAAGGAAAAAAACGCACACGTCCGAGCGATGCCAGGCACTCCTGCGCCCAGCGGCCTGCCCCGGCGGAGCCCTCCGCCGCTCTCCCTCCGCCGCCCCGCCCGCCCCGCCCGCCCGCCGAGGGCGAGGCGCGCGCCGCAGCGCTCGCGCGAGACCCTGGAGCGCGCCGCGCGGGCGACGGCTTCGACCCCGGAGCTCCGACGCACTGCTCTCTTTTTTTCCATGCGGGGCCCCTCCTCCTCCTCCTCCTCCTCCTCCTCCTCCTCCTGCTCCTCCTCCTGCTCCTCCTCCTCCTCTTTCCTCCTGCTCCTGCTCCTGCTCCTCGTCCTCCTCTTTCCTCCTGCTCCTGCTCCTGCTCCTCCTCCTCCTCCTCCTCTTTCCTCTTTCCTCCTCCTCCTCCTCCTCCTCCTCCCGCGAAGTCCCGACCCTCTCCCCAGGGCCAGCTTCTCCTCCCCACTCTCCTGGACGGCCCCGGGGCCCGGGGAGGGCCCATGGGGGCCCGAGTCAGGTTGGGCACGTCCTCCTACAGGAGGACCCTGGAAGAAAACCAACAGCAGTCAGACCAATCTGTAAAAATAGTCAGACCAGCATAGAAGCATCGTCTCCAGGCTGTTCTTTGACTGCACTTCAATGTACTCCTCCTGCAGAGGGACATGCCCGATTCGAGGCCAGAGCTAAGCAGAACCCCCCGCCGTGATCTTTACGCGACGCGAGGGGGTCTCTGGAGTCCCGAAATAGTGCGGTGACAGACCGCGCGGTGATCTCGAACCCCCCCAAGACCTCACCGCACGGCCCGTCACCTTCCACCTATAGACAAGGCCCGCGCCTTCTGAGCAGCAGGGGTGCTTCCAAGAAGCCCTCTCCCCTCCCCCCAGGCCCCCCCTCCGCGCGCGGCCAAGGACCCATCACCCCCACCGGCTCACCACACGGTGCGGTCACCACCCCCTTTTGGGGGCCCCCGAGCGAGGGGGGCCCTGGGACCGTGGTCGGCGGCCCGGGGAAGTCTCCTCGGCGACCGTGGGCGTCAGCACCCAGGGGGCCGTGGCGACGCTGTGCAGCGAGCCCCGCAGCGCCGGCGCGACCGCCTCGGTCGGCAGGTGCAGTGCCGCCCCGCGGGCAGAGCTCCCCGCCCCCCCCCCTACCGCCGCCTCCTCCTCCTCCTCCTCCTCCTCCTCCTCCTTGCTCTCTGCCTCCTCCTCCTCCTCCTCCTCCTCCTCCTTGCTCTCTGCCTCCTCCTCCTCCTCCGTCTCCTCCTCCTCCTCCTCCTCCTCCTCCTCCTCCTCCTTCTCCTCCTCCTCCTCCTCCGTCTCCTCCTCCTCCTCCTCCTCCTCCGCCTCCTCCTCCTCCTCCTTGCTCTCTTCCTCCTCCTCCTCCTCCTCCTCCTCCTCCTCCTCCTTTGAGCTTCTTAGCTCGGGGACGCGTCGGCCACCGCCGCCCTCTCCCTTGTCGGTGGCCCTGACGAGGTTGGGGGAGAGGGTGCCGAAACGCGCCCAGAGTCCAGCAAGGCATGAGGGTGCAAACCCGACTTGTCTGGCTGATGCTCTGGGGGGGCCTGTGCTCAGGGGAGGCTGCAGCACCGCTCAACGATGTGCTGTTTAACCGAACCTGCCGTGTGGGCCCTTTCCCAAATCCGTGCTTCGGTGCGGATCGTACGCGCGTCTCGTCTCCGTCGTCGTCGTCGTCGGCGTCGTCGTGGTCGTGGTGCGTGTTGCTCTGCTCGGGATTCTGTTTCCCTTATGCAGTGACCACCACCACCACCACCTCCTCCTCCTCCTCCTCCTCATACAAAGGGCGACAGTGTACGTCCTAGTCAGCGCAGAACACAGGAGGATCTTGCCGCGCCCGTGAGTAAAGTGGAGCCAACACCCGCAGGCCTCAGAGGCACAACCCAAGGCATCTGATCCTTGGATGCGGGATCTGACAACATCTGCAGCGCAGCGGTGGGTGGACCCACCGGCTGCCAAGAACTGCGCGCACTCCGCTCGGCTCGCTTCGCCCCTCTTCGCTTCGACCGCCTCGCCCAGCTCACTGACTACCTACCAGACCACCCCAACCCAACCCGAAGACCCGAAGTTGACCCGAATTTCAGGTGGGGGGGGGTACGGGTTCCATGTGTGTTTCTCAATGTTCCCCGACACCCCCCACTGGAAATGGAGGGCACATTGAGGCCTTCGGGTTGAGGTTGGCTTGGGGTGGCTTGGCAGGTGGTGACTCACTCTGCCAAGCTCGCTCTGCCCGGTTCACCTCGCCCGAGGTCGCGATCGCCCGCACGGCCCGTCCAGCAGGCCCACCCGCCCGGCCCGCACAGCAGCCCCGCTCGCTCGCCCGCTGGCGAGGGCTAGCCGCTCGCTCGCGCGCGGGAGCTGCGCCCGCCGAGCCCGCTACGAGCCTCTGCCCGCGGGGGGACCCTCGCCCGTCCAGGACCCCGCCCTGGCGGTGGCCCGCCCGCCCGGCCCAGCGAGCCGCGGCCCAGCGAAAAGCGAGCCCCCGCGAAGGGGGCCCGTGGCGGAGCGAGCCCTGGCGAAGCGGGGCGCGCGGCGCGAGGACGGGCGAGACGAGCCCTGGCGAAGCGAGCCTTGCGGCGAAGCGAGCCTCGCAGCGAGACTCGGGCGAGGCGCCTCCGTGCCCCGTGTAGCCAGACGTCCGCCGCACTGCTTCTCCCAGTCCACGGCCCCAGAGGCCTCTCGACTGCTCCCCTGGGGGGTCGTTTTACGCACCGGCTCCGCCCTTGACGACCCCGAAGCCCGCGAACGGGCCCCACGAGCTTGACGTTGAGCAGGGCCGCCAGGGTCGGATTGACAAGCAACTGCATGAAGATGAACTGTCGGAGCCCCGCGTGGATTTCTTGGATCTGCGCTGAACCCACCTCCCTGGCGCACAGAGCGCGCCAAGGGCGGGGCCGGAGGCGCCGCCAGGGGGGCTCAGCGTCGATCCAATAAATCTGGGCGGAGCTCCGGATGTTTATGTTATCGCAGCATCTTCTCCTTCGAGGGGTTGACAACAATCAGGTCGTCGGAGACCTGGGCATCGGGGCAGCCGCGGCCCACCTCGCCGCGGCTGCCCCGATGCCCGAGGTGGGCCCGAGCAGATGAGCGACGAAAAGGAGCGGGTCTGACGCGAGATGGCATCGCGAACTTGCGCGGTGGCCTGCGCGGGCCGCCAGCGCGGCACGCTGCCCTGCAGACGAGGGCGCTCTCGCTCGACCGTGCGCGGGCAGCTCGCGCGCGGATGCCGGCACAGCGGGCCCCGTGTTCCGCGTCGCTCAGAGGGGGGACCCAAGGCTGGCGGTTTTCGAGGGGCGAGCGCGGCGATGGGGGGGAGCCCTGTAGGCACCAAAAGGGGCCCTGGGACACACACACACACACAAACACAAACACAAACACAAACACAAACACAAACACAAACACAAACACAAACACAAACACAAACACACACACAAATACACAAATAGCAGACAGACTTCCCCCGGTTTCTCTTATATTTTCTGGCTGTTTGTCTTCCCCCCAC